GGGGGGGGGGGGCACACTGTATTTGTTAATGTAGCTGTTATAAATAATCCAAAGTGAAAAATTAACAGCAGTCAGTGATTTTCAGATTTGGCCTTTATTTTGGAGTCGGGCTGCCTGAATTCATGGAAATCACAGAGAGGAAAAGTGAGGCAGTGGATATGTAACTGACAGGGATATCAGTTTGGCTGAGTTATACCAACCTTGCGTCCAGTGACACCTTTAAGACCAACAATAAAACTGTGTTGGTCTTAAAGGTGCCGCTGGACTCAGATTTTTTTGTTCTGCTGCTTCAGACCAAAAATGGCTACCCCACCTGGCTTTATACCGACCTTGACACTGAAGAGGATTGTTCTGATGGGTCCCTCTTTCTGAAGTGCTTCATGGCTGACTGGCCATTCTGTAATTCTGTAATTTCTACCATTAAAGCCCTTCAGAGTGTATGCATTCCACTCTGCTTATAATCCATATATTTGTAAGTGAAAACAAATGTCTGTGGCTTTTCGGTTGTTTCTGGGGATAAGCCACCTGTCAGAGGTGCACTTGATTCATGTAGCTACTTAAGGGCTTTTGTATGTCCAATGTAAAGCTTAAGCCATTCCTTTGCACCAACTCCCTCTTTCCAAACACCACCCACCCCTTTGACACTGTATAGTCTTGACACCTCCAAGAATCTGATAAAAGGGGCAGGTTCCTTCAGCAAAAGGTTCCCCAAGACACTGATACTTTTGCCATTTGCACAAGAACAAAGCCCAGGAAGGACCATGAGTCAGATCGCTGGTAAGTACAGGAAAGAGCTCCGGTGATGTGAGGTTTTTTTGTTACTGAACACCTTGGTGGCTGATAAACCCAGGAGACACGCTTTGTGAAAGCTGTTGTGGGATCTCATCTCTCTGCCACTAAATTAAATGGGCAGTCAACTTTGTGGGATTGTACTAGACTCGGGACCCATCGTTTCTTAATAAAACCTGGGATCTTGTTTCTTCTGCTTTGCTTTCTCCATTGTTTAAAGATTGCTGTAGAAGCTGTGAGAGAGCTGCTGAAAGGAATGTAGCGTTGTCCCTGTTGCTTATTGGCATGTGACACACACTTCCTAACAGTTTTATTTTGTGTTTACATTGTCATGCTATGCCACTGAAAGACAAAAAGTGCAATCTAACCTTTTAGTCATGATGATTTCAGTGGCTGAGGCTGTGACCCTGTGCACACTTGTGAGTAAGCCCGATAGGACCCTTCTGTGCAGACATTCTTAGGACGGTGCTGTGCCCCTTCAACCCCTGTACAAAGCTACTCTAGTCTAAAACCATTGGTCCCTAGTCCAGTCTAAAACTATTCCTGCCCCCCAGGTATTCCTTTTAATCATCTTATGCATCACGTTAATCGTTTCAAGTCATTTACAGCCTTCTGCCTGAGAGATCACGATCCTAACAATATCGGCGCTTCTGTGTCCTTAATAATATTCATAGGATAAGCAATTCCAATAGGGAAGCGTGATGTCAAAGACCTACAGAGGTTTGGTAAAAACCCCTCATTTTGGTACAGAGGTTTGGTAAAAACCCCTCATTTGCCTCAAAGGGTTTAATGAAACAAGATGTGAAAGATCCATGACTGAACTGAGGGGTAGCATGCCACAGTGGTTAAAGCATCAGACTAGAACCTGGAACAACCGGGTTTAAGTTCCCCACTCTGCCATAGAAGCCTGCCAGTGACCAGGGGCTCATCACAATCTCTCAGTTTAACCTGCCCTCACAAGGCTGTTGTGAGGATTAAGGGGGAAAGGAGAGAAGGGTGTGGAAAGCTGCTTTGGGTACATGGTCAGGGAGAAAAGCAGGATATATATTTTTTTTTAAAAAACCCACTCTTTCTCGTGTCATTTAAAAGGCAGTCCAGCAACTGTGATGCCAGAGGAGGGAGGTAGCTGGATCAGGCAGTGGTGCTGGGTCAGAGGACTTCAGCTTTCCCTTCTGCAGTATTTTCAGGATAGAAATTGTCCTTCCAAAAAGGTGTTAACCCCACAAGAGAGAAAAGATGGGATACCCTGATGTGGAAAACTGAGTGATTTGCTCAGCTTTTATCACTAGAGTTACTCTTAAATATTATTGCTCTTGTGCAAAGGTTAGGCTGTGGATAAGGAGTAGAAAAAGTACTGGAGGCCAAAATATATAAGTGATATTAATACAAATAACGTTGCTAATAGGACAGCTGTGTCATTGACAGCTATGTTATTCAGGAACAGAATAGAAAGGGAAATTGCTGAATTACAAGATTATTATAACACTTGGAACAAAAACCTCCCCAGGACTCAACAGGGATATTGGTTTCTTATCTCATTACATATGCTAACACAATCAGTCCTCACATATGTATTATCATACAGAGGGACTATACATCCTCTGTATTTTAGTGTATTTTTCAGAATAGTATATTAGAATACTGAATGTAATATAAGGAATATTGGAATGTTTGGTTGACATACACTACACCCACCTCAAAAAAAGAAGAAGAAAAAATGCTGTTAAGTGACCTGAGAGGAATGATAGGAGAGTCTCAGTCTTATTTTGACATATTTATTGCTTTACAACTGTTGACCTTATAACCTTAGCTTTTATTTAGTTTTCTGTTCACATATCTTAAAATATCTTTATCACATTAACATGTTAACTTGCTGTTCAGCCCCTGTCTATAAGTTTGAACCTTACCTTCCTTCCAATGTATTTGAAAAAGTGTGCATGCACACAAAAGCTCATACCTTGAATAAAACTTTGTTGGTCTTAAAGGTGCCACTGGACCCTAAATTTGTTCTGTGTCATTAACTGTACAGACACACAAACACACATGCAACGTCCAATATCAATAATAAGAATAAACACAGTGGCAAGTGGCAACGAACAAATAACCAATATCAAATATAAGTCATGAGAATAAACACGGTATCATCTCAGTGATAAGACTGAAGAGCATGCCCATTACTAAATAAAGTGCTACTTCCTAAGAATAAACTGTGCATCACAGAGAGCCAGCCAAAATTTGTTTCAATCTTTGCTTTCCTCAGAGATGAAAGCAACAATGCATATGCTAAAGATTTCCAGGACCAACAACCATGTGTACAATCTGCCTTTAATATTCAGTATCCAAACTGAAATAATTCTTTGCCCCAACTCCATAGGCCACATTCGGATAAATGTACTTTTTAAAACCTTTAATGCCTTGCAGAGGGGAGCTACGTCACTCTTCACTCCTGCAAAGTCAGGTCACAACTGAACACAAAGGCATCAGCAGATTATAGGTAACATAACAACCACATCAATGGGTCTCTTTTTACCCGTTGGATGTCCTGGAACTATTTAAAATAAGCCTTTTTTTTTTAACCCTTTGCATCTATGTACCTCTGAACCTGCCAGTAATTTTGATTCAGGGAGATTGGTCTGGTTACCAGAAAATGAAACCTGTCTTCAAAAAAAGGAATACACTTTGTTCAGGGGCAAGTAATGTACACAAGTTTATGCAGGAATGAAGAGCGATAAGTGATTTAGTGATGCTGGTCTCATGAAATCCAACGAATGTACCCATTTAGCGATGCTGGTCTCATGAAATCCAACGAATGTTCTGACCTTGTAACTTGTTTCATAATTGCAGTAGTTTAACTTTGTTTGTGAAGAAAATATTTGAAGGGACTGTGTCTGTATGGTGGCGCCATGGGATGTCTTCAGATGCAATTGATAAATAGGCACGGCCAGCTCTTCCGCCCCAAAATTGTTAAACAAACCCCAACTCAAGATAAGAATCACTGGTTTAAAACAAGACATAAAGGCTATTTTAGGGATTGTTTCAAATTTCTTTGGACATTTTGTTTTGTTTTGTTCAAGACGAATGTGAAGCAGTTGTCTGAACCTAAGTCTAATATAGCCAGTCATTATGGAGTAGACAGCTTGGGTCTGGAGGTCCCCAACCTGTGTAAAAGATGTGAGTTGTGCGCTCTCCTCGCAGTAGCCAGTTTGGATTAGAACTGTGATGTATATGTGGAGTAGGCTTTCAGCTCCAAAGTACTGTTTTCCCAGCCCATTCTTACAGTACGAATTGATCCACACATGCAGATTGATGGCTTGATAATCTCCAGCCCATAAAAAAATATCTCTCCATGTAGAAGGGAAATTTTGGGAAGATGTCCGCCAGCTGCATCCGATCTGGCCTGAGCTTCTGTTTCCCTTCCCGTTCCAGGTATTAAAGCCTTGCCATACCAGAGTTGGGAGACCTTTAGCCTGAGCTGAAGGCGAAGAGCCCTTCGGGGGCTCTTAGCCCCTGGCCTAGGGCCCTGAGTGAACCAGCCCTGTAGATCTCGGACTGGACCAGAAGTTGGGAGTATCAGATATTTAGCTGCTGCTGCTGCTGTTTGTCTGAGTTCTATTTGTCCTCCTTTGTCAGCTGTTTTAGATCTCCAGTGAGGAGACCAGCAGGAAATAAAATACATTTTAAAATGCAGAAGGTTTTTAGTTTAGCCTTCTTCCTGTTGGTTCCTATGTGCAGGGTTGTTGTTGTCTTAAATGGAGGGTATGGACTAACATTGAATCTGAGCCCTCACCTAAAGGTGAGGTGGTGCAACCAAGGCCCTTGCCACCAAATAACAAGCATGCGTGTGTGAACTCCACCTGCATCCCAATCTGGATTGTGATCAAGCAGTCAGACAATGGTCTTTGCTGTGCAGATATTAAATTTAAGATTAACCGCATGAACTGGCACCAACTTGGCGAATAAGGGAGAAATCGTTTGGTAGTTCATCAGTGGTATGTATACGTATTACTATTCCTGCCCTAACCTGCATAGGGGAAGGGCTGTAGCTCATTGACAATGCGTGTGGCTTTCTTGGAGAAGGTCTCCAAGATTAATGGAGCATGATGCCACTGATGCTGAGTGCTACCTAATGGCAAAAACCTAGATGCAGGGAGTGCTTTGCATGGTCCAGACATCTGCTTCCACACCAGGACATTCCATTTCTGTAGTCAGCTGCAAGTGAGATCGAAGCAGGGGGATTTCACCAGGTTTTCCAAACCTATTTTCTCTGCCGAGAATATGTGGAAAAAAGAAGTTGCCATGAAGCACATGCAGAATGCTTTCGCCTCACCGTTCTGTACTCGTTTTATTTTTCTTCAGCACCGACAAGATCCTTCGGGTTCTGAGACAAAGTACAAACGACATGTATGAACTGAATGAATTACATCATTGTGGCCAGTCTCCATACACAGCTGAAGTTAGGGAACATATAAAAGTGGGATGGCACCAAGCAGCCAGGGTTTTATAGTAGCATGCTAATGCATGAACTAAAACAGGTTCCCAAGCTGCTTATCAAAGGAGGAAACATTCAGTCTGACATCGCACTCACACAAGCAACATGCAAAGGGGCACAATGAGTTTGTCAGAGAGAATTAGCATCCTTGCAGAAGGTGTGTGTAGTCAGGATGAGCTGCAGTCTTCACGCCAGTGTGTTTCTTCTGTCTCTTGTAATGCCTCGGGCTAAATCATAGCTCAGTGAGGATTGCTTAATTTGCCAAAAGAGGAGTGCTGGGGATTAAACTTGCATGAAGGAAATGCCTTGAAAACTATGCTGCCCAGTCCCAGGTGCCTCGGGACTTGCTTTAGTGACTCAGTTCTGAGGGAAAGAATGGTCTTTTGTCACTTGTTCTGGTCTGAACTGGCCATGGTGTTGGGGATCCCGCATGGGATGGGGTGCTGTCTTTTTTTTTTTTTTTTTTGCATAGAGGGGCTTAAAGTAGACAGAGACTCTCAATTTTTGATCAACATAACAGTGTTAGGGCCAAGATCCAGACAATGAACTGCCGCGAGGAACCAGGCAAGGGCTCAGAACCATGGAGGAATCCTCTTCACCTCCGAGTCACCTTGTCTCACCACCTTACCGCTCCTCTCAGCATGCAAGGAAACAAAGGCCGGAAGCATAGCACTGTTGCTCACCGCACATGCACACGAACAGCATGCCCTTCTGAAGGGCAGCAAAAAATGGCTCTAGATGGCCTCATGAACCATTTGATGGCCCCAGATATAGGAAGCCTTAGATTCCATGACTTGAAACTCAGTCTCATGGCTCACCACACCGTGAGGTAGAGTATGGCCACCACACACCGAGCAGCATATTTTAGGGATGGCAAAGGTTGAACAAATTCTGTTATGCCCCTAATGTGTCTGCCATGATAGTGCCAAAGAGACCTCAAATTTAATCCCAGCTGCAGCAGTGTTGGCCCAGCTTCTTAGAGCAGCTGACTCTTTCTGGGCATGCCATCCTGGACATGCCATCCTGGACATGACGATGCTTCCGAACAATAATGTTACTTTAGGAAAAATCCAGTTGTCTCTGGAGACGCTAGAGGAGGAGGAGGAGAAGCGGGTGGCTAGCCATTGCTGGCACAAGAGACAGAATCGAGGAGGCGACTCACCTATTTATTTATTTTATTCAATTTATACCCCGCCCTCCCCGCAACGCGGGTTCAGGGCGGCTTACAAGAGGCTTGCGCCAATATAAAAGCATATTTAAAATCATTTATGATCACTACAATACAAATAAAATCACATTAACCAATTACTAAATAAAGTGCTCTAGATGTTATTTCCCAAGATGGCGTATTTCACTGCTCTGTTTCCACTACTTTGTTCCTCAGCATCATCTGCTCCGGGAACTACTGATGTTCCCTCTTCCAGGGCCAGGTTAAGATGGACAATAGTGATGGTAGTGGCGGCTCCTACTCATACGCCTGGTGGAAGAGCTCCGTCTTACAGGCCCTGCGGAACTGTACAAGGTCCCGCAGGGCCCGGATCTCCACCGGGAGCTCATTCCACCAGGTAGGAGCCGACACCGAGAAAGCCCTGGCCCTGGTCACGGCCAGCCTGGCCTCTCTGGGACCTGGCATTGCCAGGACATGTTGCGTCCCAGACCGAAGTGCTCGCGGGGGAACATATGACGTTGCTTTGGGAAGTCAAAAGACCGTGGTTGCCTCTGTGCTGATTTCCAAAACGGATTCCGGAACTCAGCAAGAGTGAGTTTCAACCTCTGTCAAATAAAAACAAAAGCCATTCATACATTTTTAACCTTCCCCCTAGTCGGAGCAAAGCCTAGCTGTGACTCTCTTGCCTGGCGATGGATGTGCGTTCTAATTTACTTGGTTGCAAATGCTTCCTGGAGTCTTTCATTCCTGATTTGATTAATCACAGTCCTCTATTGTGAGATGGGGGGTGGGTCGTTAACGTTTGAAGGCGCTGTAATGGCAACGCATTAAGTCATAAAGCTGTCCTTTGTGAGTCCTAACATGGAATTGCCCGTACATGCTGTGGGCCCAGATAGTCTGCTTGCCATAGATAAACTTCACTGTGCGTGAGCCCGATCTGACATATACATTAAGGGCTTTTACAGCCCAGCCTTCTGTCCTGGAATTTTTTCCCAGGGCAAATCATCATATTTTAAAGCAACATCAAACATAAACACTATGTTTTAAAAAGAGCCAAAAGCAGTCCCCAATTTCACATGACAATAAATGCAGGTACTGCAACACAGAAAGGACCTCTGTCGATATCACTGAAGTCAATAATCACAGCCTAACTAGCACTCAAGACGGCATGCCGGTCAAAGCCCTCTTAAAGAGGACTGCCTCTTCAGCATACATTAAAATGCCAGTAGAGATTATGTGAGGGCTTCCCCTGGGAGGTCTTTCTAGAGTCATGGCACAGCAGTTGAGGAGGTCCTCTCTCATCCATCCACCCATCATACTTCTGTCAGGGCTCTTTTTGTAGAAAAAGCCCAGCAGGAACTCATTAGCATAATAGGCCACACCCAACAGCAGGAACTCATTAGCATATTGGGCCACACCCCTGACAGCACAGCTCATTAGCACATTAGGCCGCACCCACATGTTACCAGAAGTGTGGTTATCCAGCCACACCCACCTTTTGCTTGTTATTCTGTTTACCTTCTTTGTTGTCAAAACCAAGGGCCTTTTTTTGTAGCAGGAACTCCTTTGCATGTTAGGCCACACACCCCTAATGTAGCCAATCCTAATGAGTTTCTACGGTTGGGTGTGGCCTATTATGCTAATGAGTTCCTGCTGGGCATGGCCAACTTGGGAGCCAGCCGGAACTCCGTTCCTGTGCGTTCCTGCCCAAAAATAGCCCTGCTTCTGATGATTGGGGCATTCAGGCCTCCAAGATGACTTCAGTACATGAGCAGGTGTATACAGGAGTTCTTTGAGATAATGGGACCACAGACCACAGGGCTTTAAAGGGCACAACTAGGAATGCTTGAGCACCCACCTGTTTGGCTCCTGCCTGTTGGTCAGTAGTGAACATAGGGCAAGCAAGTCAAATCCTACACCAAAGGATAAATGGACACAAATCTGACATCAAGAATCATAAGACTGAGAAACCTGTAGGAGAACATATCAGCCTTCCAGGACATTCAATGGGTGACCCCCAAAGTAGCTGTGTTATTGCAAAGGAACTTCAGGAACAGACTAGAAAGGGAAATTGCTGAGTTGTAAGTTATTGCAGCACTCAGAACAATGGAACCACCAGGCTTTAACAGGGATATTGGTTTCTTATCTCAGTACATATGCTAACTGTTTGGTCTTTGCATCTGTTACACACCTTTATTATTTGTGGAAGAGTATGAGCTTTCATGAATCACTGCTCGCTTCTTCAGATAACAAAGAAGAAGTGAGCAGTGACAAATGAAAGCTCATACCCTGCCACAAATTTTGTTAGGCTTTAAGGTGCTGCTGTACTCTTGCTCTTTCCTACTGCTACAGACTAACACGGCTACCCATCTTGATCTAGCACCCTGCTGCTCACCCCATTCCTATATGTATGGACTGGTAACTTCCATTTCACTGTATCTGAAGAAGTGTGCATGCACACGAAAGCTTATACCTTGAATAAACCTTTGTTGTTCTTCAAGGTGCCACTGGACTCGAACTTTGTTCTGCTGCTTCAGACCAACACAGCTACCCACCTGAATCTATCTTCACGGGTTGTGACTATTTGGCAGGGTTTTTCACTGTATGCCTTCCTTCCTGCAGTACAGTGCAGTGCAATTGGCATTTCATGTATGCACATTCTCTCACAGCCTGATTGAGTTATACTCCTCCTCCTCCTGCTGCGCCACTACTCCAACAAGACAGGCAGATGTTTAAATAGACAGAATAGTTCTAAATGCAGTGTGGGGGGGGTGTTAAAAAAATCCCTGCTGTTCAGTGTTCATCTAAGTAGTACTTACATCCACCAATCGGTTTGGATCAGCAGTGCTTTCACACATAAGTAAAAAAACACCGCAAACATGTGTGGAAGGTATTTGAGGGGCTCCATGTTGAACCTAACACAATTCAGGTGGCTCGCCATGTTGGTCTGAAGCCACAGAACAAAGTTTGAGTCCAGTGGCACCTTTAAGACCAACCGAGTTTAATTCGGAGTATAAGCTTTCATGTGCATGCACACTTTTCCAGATAGTGCATGCACATTGTTATGTACGCGGACCGCCAGCAGGGGTCCGCGGCTACAGGCAGGAGCTTAGCTCCTCAAGACAATAGGAACGGAGGATCCTAGTTCCCCCAGCACGGACCAATAGGAACTATGGCGGGAAATTCAACCCCCCCAATGGGACTGTGGGTGTGCTGGGTGGGTGTGTATATATAGTTGGCCTTGCAGGGCCGTTTTGCAGTTCGATGTTAAGTACAATAAACGTGTGCAAACGCATGTCGTCATCCGAGTCCTCCATGCTGCGAACCCGGTACTTTTCACACATGAAAGCTTATACCCAGAATGAAGCTTGGTTTGGTCTTAAAGGTGCCACTGGACTCAAACTTTGTACAGTTGAACAAGGTTAAGTTTGACTGCTGAACGTGTTTGACTCAATAGCCGCAGGATCCCTAGTCACAACTAGCACTTCTGAGCAGTCCTGCAACTAAAGGGCAGTCTGCGTAGACGTAACAGAATAGGAGCAACGGGTTCCCAGTGGCCTGCCCCTGCCAGCCATCTGGCAAATGTGTCCTGAGATAGCTGCGGTTTCTCAGTCTTCTTCAAAGACAGACTTGCACAGAGTACATTATAGTAGTCTAGTCTGGATGTCACCCGGGCATGTGGAACCATGGCCAGAGCCCTCCCATCTAGTAAAGGACACAACCGGTGACCTAAGTGTGCCTGGTTAAATGTCTCCCTGCCTGCCTGCTGCCATTCCTCCAAACATCCAGGAGCAGAACGAGATCCAGAAATCTTTCCTGTCACTTCTCCCATAGGATTTAATGCTAAACATGGGTGCCTTTCGTTGCCCCAAATGGTGGGATACTGTATTCTGTCTGTAGGAAATGTGGGGTCCTTAGGGAATTCTCCCGCCCCTGAGTTTTGTCCAAGAACGGGGTGTGTGTCTTCCATTGAAAACAATGGGAAATAATGATAAAATATAATTATGAAAACAAAAGTAATGATAGAGACAATAATGAAACAAAGCCATACAAAACAACCCAGTGACAAAACATCTGTTTTTGGAATTAATAACACAAACCAAATAAATGAAATGAAATGGAGGGAGGGGGAGAATGATGTTGTAAGGTGTTTTGGGTCCCTTTGGGGAAGAAAAGGGGGGTATAAATATCTAAATAAATAAATAAATAGTAAAAATATCTCTTTCTCCCCCCCTCCCCCCATCTTCTTTGTCATCATCTCCAGGAGGTCCTCTGAAGGCCGTTGGAATCGATTTCCTCAGGAAACAGAATACCTATCTCCACCACACCAATGATTACAGTAACTCGAATCTGGTTGTGAGGCGTGGGCAGGAGTTTCAGTTGAAGCTGACCTTTAGCAGAGAGCTGAAAGACCAGGACAAAATCACACTGCAGCTCAGTATTGGTAAGATGATATTTGTTTAGTTTACTACAATGTAAAGGTGGAAATCAAGATTCCTGTCCTTAATAGGTTCTATATTCTACTACAAGGGATAGACCATACAATTGCAATCAAACTTACGAAGATTTTTCTAAAATCCAATTTTTAAAAATCTGCTTAAAATTACATATTGCACAGATGGCTTTATTGGAATCTGACCAGTTTTCATGGGGCTCAGGCGGTAGAGAGGGA